GGTGTTGGGGTGATTTTGGGGGGCCGAGTCTGACGGCAGTGCTCTGGGGAGCTCCATCCGCAGCGGTTCCAGGATATTTTTCCTCGGGAAAAGAAAACCGGGCGGCGGGGCAATAGAGGGGTGGGGGCGGCGCGAACCCCTATAAAAGTCCTGCTCCAGGTGAGGCTCGAACTCACAACCTCGGCATCGCTCGTGTACCGCCCTATAAGTACCGCGCGCTGACCGATTGCGCCACTGGAGCGCCCGGGGCCGCCCGGCGCCACCGCGCCCCCTGCCGGCCCCGCCGCACCGGACCCGAACCGGACCCCCCGTGTCACCCCCGGCTGGAATCGGACCCCGGTGCCACCCCCGGCCGGAACCGGACCCCCCGTGTCCACTTCTAGCTGGAACCGGACCCCCCGTGTCACCCCCGGCCGGAACCGGACCCCGGTGTCATCCCCGGCCGGAACCGGACCCCCGGTGTCACTCCCGGCTGGAGCGGGACCCCCCGTGTCCACTTCTGGCTGGAGCCGGACCCCCGGTGTCACCCCCGGCTGGAACCGGACCCCCCGTGTCCACATCTGGCTGGATCCGGACCCCCCGTGTCCATCCCCCGGCCGGAACCGGACCCCCTGTGTCCATCCCCGGCCGGAACCGGACCCCCTGTGTCCATCCCCTGGCCGGAACCGGACCCCCTGTGTCCATCCCCGGCCGGAACCGGGGCCCCCGTGTCCACTTCTGTCTGGAGCCGGACCCCCCGTGTCCATCCCCCGGCCGGAACCGGACCCCCTGTGTCCATCCCCGGCCGGAACCGGGGCCCCCGTGTCCACTTCTGTCTGGAGCCGGACCCCCCGTGTCCATCCCCCGGCCGGAACCGGACCCCCTGTGTCCATCCCCCAGCCGGAACCGGGGCCCCCGTGTCCACTTCTGGCTGGAGCCGGACCCCCGGTGTCCCCCCCGTGCACAACCGGACCCCTCCCGTGTCACCCCCGGCCGGAACCGGACCCCTCCCGTGTCCCTCTCCCCAGCAGGACACTGTGGGCTCTCCGAGGGTCTCATCGCCCCGCTGCAACCCCAGCTGAGAACTCTGGGTCTGAACTCCCCTTCCACCCCTGTGCCTCGCAAATTCTGCGCCCACCCCACCGCGAACCCCCCTCTGCAGCTCCTGCACCTGCCCCGTGCCCACCCCGCTGCAAATCCTGAGCCCTCCCTGGCTCCAAACCACCCTCCTACCCCTCCTCCGACCCCCGAGCCCACCCTGGCTGTAAATTCTGCCCCATCCGTGCAGCAATCTCTGCTCTGTGCCCACCCCGAGCCCACCCTGGCTGTCTCCCTTCCCTGCTCGCACCCTGCTGTCCCCTCCCGCCCCCCAGGACCCCCCTCACCTCCTCCAGATCCGCCCCGGGGCTCCTGCCCAGGGCGGCCGCATCGGGCGAGTGCTGGGGCAGGGAGAACATCCATGCCCAGAGGTGTCCGGCGGCGGGGGGCAGGAGCCAGGCCAGGAGGCACAGGACGGCCGGGGATGTCACCATGATGATGATGATGATGATGATGATGATGATGATGATGATGATGGTGCTGGCGCTGGTGGCAGCTCGGCCGGCCCGCGAGGTTTATGTAGCCGCGGGCTATCTCGGCCCCCGCCGCTAAAACTGTTTGCTCGCCTAATGGGGTGGGAGGAGGCAATCAGGGGTTAAGGGATTTCCATAATTGCCAGCCTTCCCCTCGGGGTGGGCACCAGCCCCACAGCAAACAGCCCCCCCCGGGGCAGTCTGGCTCCGGCGCCAGCCGTGGGTACAGCCTGGGGTGTCCCGTGTCCCCCCAGAGCTCAGGGGGGCGGTGGGTACAGCCTGGGGTGTCCCGTGTCCCCCCAGAGCTCAGGGGGGCGGTGGGTACAGCCTGGGGTGTCCCGTGTCCCCCCAGAGCTCAGGGGGACGGTGGGGGCAGTTTGGGGTGTCCCGTGTCCCCCCAGAGCTCAGGGGGGCGGTGGGTACAGCCTGGGGTGTCCCGTGTCCCCCCAGAGCTCAGGGGGGCGGTGGGGGCAGTTTGGGGTGTCCCGTGTCCCCCCAGAGCTCAGGGGGGCGGTGGGGGCAGTTTGGGGTGTCCCGTGGCCCCCCACACAGCTCGGAGTGATTTTGGGTGCAGTTTGAGGTGTGTGCCCCCCCAGCCCTACAATTCCCTGGTTTTATTCCCCCTTTTCCAGAGCGGGGACAGCGAGGATGAGGGGGAGGCAGAGGGAAAAGCGGGGGGACAAAGGCCGGGACCCCCCAAACGTGCAGCGGTGGGCACAGGGCTGGCATCCACCCCCCTGTTCGTGCCCCCCCCATCCGCCGCCCCCTGCCCAGCCCGGGCTGCGGGGGTCGGCACCTCCCCGAGGCCCCCGCGAATGGGGTGCGAGCCCGGCCCTTATCGCCCGGCCCTTATCTCGGGCCCCCCCGAGCGCATCCCCCAGACAGTGTCACCTCCGTGTCCCCAAACACGCGGGGGGCTCAGCGCGCCCCCCCAGACCTGCCCAATACACTTCGGGTCCAGGCCGGGATCATTCCCGGCTCCCGGGGGGATTGGAGGAGGGGGAGGGTGGGGGGATCACTCCGGGGGGATTCGTCCCCAAGAGCAGCGAGGAGCTGGGAATGGGGTGCGCTGGGGGTCTCCAGGGATGTGGGGATCCCCCTCCCCTCGGTTGCCCCCCCCGGCGACCCTTCCTGGGCGAGTCCCTCCGTGCCTCAGTTTCCCCAGCGGTGAGATGGGAAGCTGAATGGTGACACAGGGACAGTGGGGTGACCCCAAACTTTTCTCCCGGTGCTCCGGGAGTTCTCAGTGCCCGGGAAGGGTCTCCAGGATCCGGGGCCCCCCCTCGCCCCCCCGCCTGTTTGCCCGGCGGCTTTGGGAGCAAATATTGACCCCGCTCCGGGACACCATCACTGTCCCCATCCGTCCCCCGCTGGCACCTCCGGATAATCCCCCCAACCCCGCGGGGGTCCCGGACGGCGGCTCTGGCAGTTTTGGGGGGGTCCCACGCACCCCCCAAGCCCTGTGGGGGCTGCCCCACGCCGCTCTCGGGGTTTTGGGGGGGCCGTGTCCCCCCACGGGGGGCTGGGGACACGGGGGGTGTGGGGCAGCGAGTGTGGGGGGGTCCGTGAGTGGGGGGGGAGTCCCTGGGGGGGTGTCCGTGGGTGCGGGGTGTTTGTGGGGTGCCCGTGCTTGGGGGTTCCGTGGGTGTGGGGTGTCTGTAGGGGGGGTGTCAGTGGGTGGGAGGGGGTTCCGTGAGTGGGGGTGTCCATGACTAGGGGTGTCCGTGTTTGTGGGGTGCCCGTGGGTGGGGGGTGCCAGTGTTTGGGGGTCTCTAGGATTGGGGGTGCCCGGGATTGGGGGTGTCCGGATTGAGGGGTGTCCGTGTTTGAGGGGTATCTGTGGGTGGGGGATGTCCATGGGCGGGAGTGTCTTGGATTTTGGGTGTCCGTGGGTGTGTGCTTGTGTGGACGGGGGTGTCGGTGACACGGGGTGTCCTGGACAGGGGGTGTCGGTGACAGGGGGTGTCGGTAACACAGGGTGTCCATGGACAGGGGGTGTTGGTAACGGGGTGTCCGTGGCCGGCTGTCCCCGCAGCGCCGGTGCCATCAGCCCCGGTGTCCCCTCGATGCCACCAGCCCCGGTGTCCCCTCGGTACCGGTGCTATGAGCCCCGGTATCCCCTCGGTGTCCCCTCGATGTCACCATCCCCGGTGTCCCCTCGGTACCGGTGCTATGAGCCCCGGCAGGCCCGGCTCCGCAGCGGGGGTATAGCTCAGTGGTAGAGCATTTGACTGCAGATCAAGAGGTCCCCGGTTCAAATCCGGGTGCCCCCTCTTTTCTTCCCTCACCTTTTTGGGGGGTCCCCACTGTATTTTTCCCACCCCTTCTGTTTGCCCCCCACCCCCCGGCAGCGAGGGGAGGCCGCGTCTCGCCCCCCGCCGCTCCCCCGGCCTCGGCTGTCGGCTCTGGGGCCGCCGCTTTGTTTTGGAGAGGGATGGACCCGGCTCTCAGGGATCCCCAAAAAATGTTGCTTTCCCGTTTGCTTCCTCAGCTCGGAGCAGTCGCGGGGCGGCAGGACCCCCACATTGTCCCCGCGCCCCCCGGTTTTGCCCGTGGGACGGGGGGCAGGGATGGGGGGTCAGGGTCGCTCTGCAGGCCCCGGGCACGGAGCACATTTTGGGGGTCGTGCAGCCTCGTCCGGCCCCGGCACCCCGGGCTGAGGGGCTGGGGTGCAGCCGGAGCCCCCCAAAACGCTGCCCGAATTATGGCGCGGCCAGGAGTCGATTTGGCTGAATGTGGGAGCTGGAGGCTCGGGCTGCTCCGGGGGTCTCTGGTGCCAGCGGGACCCCCACC